CTTTTCTGGGTTAAGCAAATACCTTTTGTCTTGACGGGCAATCGGACGGGTATCGATAGTCGCGGTGCTCGTACTGGTTACACATGACTTATTCGTCATCTCGGGTGACGTAGGCGAGGGGGAAGATTCCAAATAGATTCTATTAATGAATCAGATGTTGATTGTTTCTATTGTAAGAGACTTCATCCACCGATTTTAGGTCGTCCCGAAGGGACTTGGGGTTTTGTCTGGCCCAAATGGTCATTTTTTATTATTATTCTTTAAATTCAGGATTCATTTATTTTATTTTTATATTTTTATAAAAATTTATGTATTTTCATTTAAAGCCCCTCTGCCATAGGGCGATGACCCTGAAGGGCAGATAATAAATAAATAAAAATAAATTAATTTTTATCTTGAGCATTTGAATATTTTATATTTATTTTATTAAATTAAATCGGAATATTCTGGGCATCACATGAGAGCAATAATTAACAAAAAGCTATACAGTCTTCAATATTTGAAAAAAAATTTGGTTTTTGAATTTTCAAAATTTACGTTTTTTAAATTGAAATTTTGTTTGCTCTTCAGTTGATGATTTTCCTTATTCGAAAATTCATCTACTTATATTTCAATATTTTTTATTATATTGAATTAATTAATCTTGAATTGACATTTAATTAATTCTGAACAATTTATGAGAAACTTTAATAGAAACCTAACGCTTTCGCTAATAAATTCTGCTGAAAGATTCTACACGTCTTTTGCGTGAATTTTTTGAAACATTCGCAAATAGACATTTGTTCATAGAAAAATACCTACAGATGTTAATTTTCGTGTAGAATTTATTTCAGATATTAATCTTCAAAATTCAAAATTCACGTTTACACAACTTTAAATGTAACCATTGAATAGCAAATATCGTCTGACATTTCAAGAATCCTACTCAGGTTGCTCATGGGCCACCCTAAAAGTGCCACTGCAGACTGCCTTGTGCGGTTTCTCCTCGGTTCTCACATGACTCATCCCCCCCAGCCCAAAAGACGAAAAAACCTCTGAATAATGTAGTCAATTGAGACTTTATTCCAGTCGTGAACTTCATATCAGTCGTGCAAAAGGAGGAAAATCCTCGGAAAATCCTCGGGCCCTCAGCCCGCACGAAGGCTCGCGTTAAGGAGTTGAAGAAAAATCTGTCTCTCGGGAAATGTATCTTTCCCTTCGCGATAAATTTGGCGTCGACTACACTGTTAGAAAATTTAACATCACCAAAAACGAGTTGAATTTTGGGTCACCCAAAATGTTTTAGAAGAGTCTCGCTTCCTAGTGCACCGGGTGAAAAAAATTTGGGCGACAAATAAATCGGCCTCTTGCAACATGACATTCTCGAGCCCCATCGAGAGCGGCGAGACACCGGGACGGCGCCTGAGAATTGCCTTCGACGCTATTATCGAAACTCCGTCATCGGGACCATTGACAAGACACGTTTGTTATTTTTTTTTCTCCCCCGACGTGACATCTAGTGCATGAATTCTCGCGACACTTGAAATAAAGAGCGAGTGAAATATGTAAGCGGTGACGTCATTCGCTCGATCGAAGTTGGTTGGCTTCGTCCAGGGGAATTGCCAGTGGAATTGCTGTTTCGCTGCTAGAACTGGGAATTTTAGACCGGGGATTCGGGGTATCGAGGAAGGATTTCGGGGAGTCGATTATTCATGGCGGAATTAGTCAACGGGTGGATGAGGTTTTTTTTAGATTTGGTACAGTCATTCGTAGATGAATAGGACGGGGGGAGGCGGTAATGCTCCAGTTGCGGTGAGCGCGACAATTATCAGAAGGTTGAGTGATGCGATGACGTGGCGCCGGGAAACTCTGACGAATGGCTAATTGACACATTGGATATTTCAATTTTTTTATAATCCGGAAAGAACTCGGAGAAGAATGTTTTGAAAAATCTATGGCACTGATATTTTCTGTATCCAACACATGACTCATTCACATGACAACATTTTTACTATCTCCTTAATTTCCTGTTTTCAATTATCTGATGTGTTTATCCATCCATTCATTTATTGAGAGATAGTGATTGAGTGGATTTAGCGGTTGTGTTTGGCTACTGCGCCTCCTTGCGGTGGCGTCACTGTACTGGAGCTGAGGCCTATTTCATGGGAATCAAATGGAAATAGTCGTTCATACGATTTCTCAGAATGCAATATTATTCAAGAATTCAATCTAAGTGCTTATTTATTTCGTAAATATCTCATAATCTTCAAATGCATCTGTCATTATGAAGATGAACCTAAACGTCTATTCAACTACGATTTTGTTTGCCACGTTTGGCGACTGCAGTGATCATTAGTCTTGAATATTAGTATAGTCGAATTTGGAATCGTCAAATATTTCTTCCAAGTTCATCACACACTTGGAAAAATATTTTCGATGACGTTATTTTTTTCTTGGTGGTTGTGTTTGGCTACTGCGCCTCCTCGCGGTGGCGTCACTGTACCAGGGCTGGTGCCTATTTAATGAGAATCCTATAGAAATAGTAGTTCATATAATTTTTCAGAATGAAATACTATTTATTTATCAGTCCAATCCAAGTGCTTCTTTACTCCTCAATTATCTAATAATTTTTAACTGCATTAATTATAATTTTATTAATTATAATTTGTCATTACTAAGATGAATATAAATCTCGAAACTTTTCATTATTTATCAAGATACCCATTCTAAAATGCGTTTAAGTTCCAAAAAAATGTTTATTCATTCATTTATTTACTAAAAAAGCCCTGAAAGTGCCAGAACATCGGTAAACATGAAGTCAGCCGTCCAGAAAAAGCCCTAGAACCCCAAGAAACTGTCAAAAACATGTCGTATATAAAGATCTGTTGATTCAGTGTCGGATGATAGGAGTGATCGCTCCAATCATCATCAATCGTTCAACGTCCGGACACCCTACACCATAACATCTTGACCAGTATTAGAAGTTACTGTGACCCCTAGAAGAAAAGAATGAATCACCCGGGTCCCTATCCCACCGACATCTCCACTGGGAGGGGGAGTACTTGAAAGGGTTGGACCTCTTGAAAAACTCCTCAGGCCGGATATAGATGCTCAGGTCCACGTGCATACCCTGTCCTCTGCGGGACCATTCTCTTCATTATGATCAGTATCGACAAGATTATGCATTATACAATTAAAAATAAATGAAGGAAAAATGAATAAATGAATAAATAAATTAATTAATAAATTAATAAATTAATAAATTAATGAATTAATAAATTAATTAATAAATAAATTAATAAATTAATAAATCAATAAATAAATAAATTAATCAATTAATCAATAAATGAAGGAAAAAATAAATAAACAAATAAATTTTATCATCACTTCCCAAACCATCTGACCCTCGATTGCAAAATAAAAATAATCTTCCATAAAAACCAAAAAAAAAATTGAAAAACCGAGAGATGATGTGAAGCGTGTCGGAATGGAATGATGACGCCGTCGGAACGTCGCCACGTACAACTGCAAAAACTGTGTCGCGTGGCTCCACTTCTCACGCGTAAACCCCAGTATTCACTAGTACGTACACTTGAACCTTCGTCATCTTTTCTGGGGAACCACTGTTGTTTATATTCACAGTATATAGCCACTTGATATGAACACGACTTCGATTAAAGTCGAATGGGCTCCATTTGGCTTGAACTCTCACGTAAATGAGGGGTTTTACGGTTCAACTGTACTTTTACAACACTTCGTGGCCATTTCAACAATGCGATATGAATATTCCATAATTTTTATTCAGTTTTTTATTCTTTAAATTATGAAAAATTACGTTTTTACTCGAAATCAAATTTTTCAAATCGTTTTTTTGCAGTAATGGTAATAATAATTGATATAATAACATACACGATAATTTTTCTTCAATTTGTTATTTAATAATTGATGAAAAATTACATCTTTTTTTCAAATTAAAATTTTCCAATTTTTTTTTATGATAATTATTTTAATTTGATTCAAAATGAAAAAATATTTGTATCAAATATGCGATATCTTCTCAATTATCCGCCCAATTTCAGCGTTAAATCGAATTCAGCAGATGTATCAGCAGATTTCTAAAATTTGATTCGGCCATAAGCGAAGAAAAAAGTCTTTCTCATATTTTCTTCTCCGATACACTTTTTTTTCCAGAAAATGTCCCATAAACCTATCTCCTATTTGTCCGCACCCGTGATTTGTGGGCAATTCGCTTCGCCTGTTTGGAAAACATTCGGGCGGTGGTGGGCATTGTCCACTCGGCCAGGTGACTTTTCTCATTTGTGTAACTGGCACACCGGGTGGACTTTCTTCTGAACGCACGCGCCCTCTCTTTTTTTCCACATCTCTTCTTTCTTCTCAGAGTCTGCTTATGTGGAACCGATGGAGGCCATTTTTTAGCGGTTTTGGTGGTTTGACCTCTTGCATTATGCATCTACGTAATTAAATTTGGGGTACTCTTTTTTAAAATGATGAATTATCTTCAAAGTGAAGCGCTAATTTTTAGAGCCTTCCGGAGTGAGTGATGAGGACTGGAGAGAGGTGGATTATCATATATCGTAATTATTGTACTAGTGAATTTTTTTATTTCACAGCAATTGTGATAATGATTGATGATTGAGTGAACAATTATTCCACGATATATTTTAAAAAATGAGAGAGAGTGATGAAACGCATTTAAAGGTTATGTTTGGCTACTGCGCCGCCTTGCGGTGGCGTCTCCGCACCAGAGGTGAAGACTGTTTCATGAGAATTAAATAATAGTTTAAATTATTTTTTAGAATACAATACTATACATTATGAAGATAATTATAAGCGGTTGTTCAAATATGATTTGATTCACTCGAATAAAATCATAAAAACAAAAAAATCATGAATCATAAATCATATTCTATTCATAAAAGTAAATCATTTTTTTATCGAAGTCACAAAATCGTCACAAAAAGTGACTTCGAAAAAAAAAAATTTAATTTTATGAATAAAATATGATTTATGATTTTTTTGTTTTTATGATGTTATTTTAATATCATGACATTATGACAAATGGTCTTGAATATTAGTATCGATGAATTGGCGACTGTCAACATTTTTCCCTAATCCTTCAAACACTTGGAAAAATATATTTACTAATGTTATTTTTTTCAAGACCCCAAAACACTTGGAAATATTCATTCCTTGCAATGATTTTGAATTCTCGCTTATGTTTACTTATTCATTCATGTATCGAGAGATGGTGATCGAGCGCATTTGAATTGTGTTCGACTACTGCGCCACCTTGCGATGGCGTCCCTGTACCACAGCTGAGGAATTTCAAGCAAAAGAAATAAAAACAGTAATTCAAATGATATCTCACAATGCAATGCTATTAAAAAATCCAGAATTATTGAAAAAAATATCTTCACTCCAGTTTTTCACATGCCAATATAATCCCAATAATGCGAGACATTGTTACCCTCAAAAAAACTCAACTATTCCGCTAAAATGAATCAAAAAATTCACTTAAAAAAATTTAATTTCATCAAAAAATTAGTTTCCAAGTTTCTGCAGCTCCTGAACACCTCCCACGTTATGCGAACGCGAATTAATGGATTTTCAAAAGTACCTCTCGAGCGAAAACCCTTGAAAAGCCTTCGCCTCACCCGCAAGGATCTCCCACCCAAACCCAATACCCGAAAAATCCACCGGTCCCACACTAGCAAAGCCCCGTAAACCGTTTTTCATTCGTCCGGTCATTCAAGTGTTGGCAGTTTTTCACGCGGCAGGCGACAATCCCCACTAAATCCCCTGAGGACGAGTCCCCCACGTGCCACACAAGGGTGACACGCCGGTCGCATCCTCTCACTCCACACTCACTCGTCAGCGCTCCGAATTCACGAGCGGAGTGATTTTTTGGCGCATTCAACTAGTCCTATCGCCTCTAGTCCCCGGATTAATCCGGCTAGTTTTTTAATTGCGGAGATTCGTCGCGGAAAAAATTGGGGAATTTATCGTTCAACTCTCGGGGTTAAAGTACCCATTCACCCGGCGGATCGATGATACGCGAGTGCCAGAGGTTTTAATCAAGTTTTTTTTTATCCAATTAGCGACACTAGTGCTGGTGTCCTCCACCTGTTGGTCAATGACTCGAATGTTGCGCGTGAAAAGTGAAGCCGAGGTACATGTGGACGAATTTTTTGGGAGTAATTCGAGAGCTTCTGCCGGGGTAATTAACCGCCCGGTTGAGCTTGTTAACGAGTTCAAAGAGTTTTAAGGTTATTTAATAAATTGCAATTAGGATCTAATGGACATGACGTGCTACATTAGCTCGCGATGAGAGGGCTCAATGGGTGAGTGCTTTTATTGCTGTGAATTTGACCTGTCACTTTGACGATGGCAACGGGAATGTGTGGAATCCACAGTGTGAATGCCATGCGCATCTCAATCGTTAATTAATTTCATGTAATGTAATTAATTGAGATTTATTCCTGGTTGAGTATTACTGGTGTTCACTAGTTGGAGGTCTTTTGGCGATTTATTTGGTGTTGACCCACGGGTCAAAAAACACTCTTATCGAAATATACCATTCAAGTCGACTTGGCTCTCAGCTGACTTTTCGAGGAATATCTCCGCATCTAAGGGAGATATCGAAATTTTTATAATGACCTTTTTTGCGGTGCGAATTGAGAGCTACGAAAAAGGTTCTAATAAAGATTTTGCTATCTGCCTTAGATTCCGAGTTATTCATTGAAATTTATCATCATGAATTTCAATCATCAAATTTGTCAACTAATTTGCGTTAGAAAAATTGGAAAAAAATCATGAATGTTCAACGGCATTCAAATTAAATTCCGCGCAGAATTATTATTTTTTTAAACACTTGTTCTTTACAAATAAAAAATTGGAATTGTTTAAACTTTCGAAATTAATTTTTTTCAGGAATTAAATCGATTTCTGGTAAAATTCTGAGTTTGAATAAATTTATTACAATTCCGAACAAATGATTTTTATGGTGGAAAACTGATTGTTCACAAATTATTCATTTTTAACCAATTTTTTAACCGTTTCCGATTTTTTCAGATTTTTAGAATCCAATAAAAATAATTTGCCACTCGTGATAGAAAAAAATCAATAAATCTGCAAAAAAAATAATATTGAACAAATCTTCAAATCGATCCCTAACAATTAAGAATACATCCTCAAAACCTGAGTCTTCCCTCCCCTTGTGCAGTCGCCATTGCCCCGTACGGTAACTCCTGTTCTCCACCAGGGAATCGCGGTGCAATTAAAGCACGAAACCCGAGTCGTCGGCGCTCGTTGCGCCCAACATACATATAAACACGATCCACGTAGTGCGGGTATTACGACTTGATGCGTGTCGGGGGCTGGTGTGTACGCGTGATGAATGTGCGGTAGGAAATTCAGCCGAGTGTACAACCCGAGTCAAAGTGAGCGCCACACACGTGTCCCCCATGCACTTCTGTACCTCAACTTGATTCATTCGCCCACTCGATTTCGCGCCATTAATTCCCGCGATGTTAAATCCCCGCGATATCTTGAATCCATTTAACTCCGCATTTCCCCATTTTTGGGACTTCTAAATTGCTGACGACTCCATGCGCATAATGCAACCCCAAATGTCCTTAATTAACTGAAGAAGGAAAATTAATTATTAAATGATCAACTCAAAACTGATTAGACTAAAAAATAGAACAATTCTGCGAATTGTTTTCGCGAATTTGTTTCGTATGATTTTAATGAAATGGTTCTCACAATAAAATTAAAGACATTTGAATGTTTCATTGGGCTAATTGCCCTTGTGTGAGTCACCGGACTCCCTGGAATAATAAAAATCATCGCGATTGTGGTGCCCTGTGGATAATCCAGCCGAGCGAGCCCAATAACTCGAGTGAATCAAAGCGAATGAGCTAATGAACGTTATGCCCACGTGTAAATGTCGGTGTCGTTCATGTTGTTGGTCGTTGTTGACTCACCTGTGTGTTCCCGCAGTAACACGAGATGCACTTTGGTTGCGCAACCGACAACACATCGTCCGTGTGTGCAACTTCCACCGCACACGCCGCTCACGATTCCGCGTTTTTTTAAAGTCGCTTGTTATGACTCCTAGTTATGCTCGTTTCGAGTTATTGCGTATGTCTTATTGATGAAAATTAATGATTATTGTTTGGTTGTTGCAGGTTACCACAGCTTGCCGTCTTAGCGAAGATTTTGTGCCTCCTGATGGTGAGTAGAAATAATTGGTTTATTTGAGCATGAAAAATTTTCAAACGTGAATAATAAGGGAATTTAATGAATTATTTGTTTCAACAACGAGACATTTTGCTCGAGAGGCTGATGATTCGCGCGGAGACCGCGCCATTTCAGGATGAGAATATCTCTCATGAAGTGAAGCTAAATGATAAATATTTCGTTCGAAGTTACAGGGTTGCTATCGCGTCGTCATTGTTATTCTATTTAAAAATTCATTTCTTGTATTTGAGTATTGAATAGCCGAAAGGACAAACAAATAGCAATCTCGTTGAATCATTCGTACAAATTTCTCGAAGCAAAAATGTAGCTATTTGGTCGTTGTTTTGCATCAAACAAATATTTTTCCCCTGACCCTTGAATTACCTTTTCCTCGCTGCAATCCAATTCTCAATTTCCTCAGGTGTTTTCATATTCTTCATCCTATGATACAATCCAGTGCAATGTTGCATCGTGATATGTTTCTCAACTAACTTCGGATGAGCCGAAAATGTACAACCATCAATACCACAAACCCGATGTGTACTCTTGTGATCATTGAGTAATTTTTCTGTTTGAAAATCACGATCACATATTTCACAGTAGTAAGAATCATCCTCCTCATTGCTCGTATAATTCTCATCTCTTATATCACAATAGGGCTCATCTTGGTACAAGGCAGCCTAAAAATTTTTGCTTAAAATTCGTTTTGTAAATCAATAAAAATTTTGTGTTAATACCATTTCACGAGTGAAAAACCTCTTCCATTTATTTTGATAAATGAATGGTGCTCAGGAAACTAGAAAAGCTTCAGGGAAGATAATTTCTCCATTCCTCTTTAATATTCAGTTTGAAGAAAACAAAAATACCCAGATAAACCATCAAAACGACAAATAATTCACCACTTCGTGTGAAAAAAAAATATAAAAAAAGTACGAGAATCAACAGTTTTAGAACTTGTAGAAATATCATTTATTCCTTACATTTAAAATTTGAATACAAATTTATTTCTTTATGTCCACCGTGTTCTCTAGGTTTCCAATAATTGCGTGGATACCGATTATTACAAACAAGGTACAAATGTCATTTGAAACAAACAGCAAGAACAAGAATTGATGACAATTGGGGATTAAGCCAGAAAAAAATCTCTTTACTACATACAAAGGGAACAAACTTCTGATAAGTGACAGGAGTGAATTGAGTTCTTACTTTGAATCGATAATCCATTACTTAATAAATTAATCTAGAAATAAATTCATCTCATCTGTGATCTCTCGATTTCGTGTTGTCGTAATGACACAATGCTATTGCCATATCAGCGAGGAATGTTATTGGGCTCGAAGCACTGGTCAATCAGTTAATTGGCATTTTGTTGATACCAGTCTTTGAACGTTGTATTTCGGTGAATGAAAATTAATCTTCAGTATGGAAACTGCTTCGGATTTATCAAAGCCACAAATAATTGAACACTTTGCGTGAAAGAAAATACAAGTTCCAAGTTCATAAATCCTCGACTCGAGTCATAAAATCATGGACTAATGACACTTGTACCCCTGTTGTGCTCCCCTCGACCCGATGTATTCGTCACGTGTCTCATGTGAACAACTCCACGACAGATATCGAGCAGCGACGAGTGACTAAGACGAATTGGTTCGTAGGAGAGATACGTACCGAGATACTCCTCGAAATCCTAGAACTCGCGTTTTACCCCGTATCCTTTCTTTTCGTATCTCAACCAGTCGTGGATTGATGATCATTGCTGGGGCACTCCCACGCGTTTCAACGCGACGATTTATATCGAGGGGATGTCATCGTCGACTGCTCGAGCTTCAATTTCTTCAATTTTTATCCAATATTCAAATCCGTTTCCGATGGAATTATCAGTCATCCCTGGGGAGATTAAACTCTTCGATTAAATTTCTTCTCGAACAGTTATTCCTTTGTAAATAATGAACTTTTGGAAATATTTTAAACATAAATAAATTTATGGGAAATTATGGGGAAATAGTACTTAATTGGTGATTTTATATGATTTTGGTAAATTGAATTATATTTCTTGTTTAATCAATTGTGGATGAGTGAATTTGGAACTTCATTGTTGAAAAAATCTCCGGAAAATTTTCGGAATTTTTGCATCCTAATGCATTACTACAACCCACAAAATCCAAAACTCAATAGTGAGCGAAACCAAAGTCTCCATTCAGAAGCAAAACTCTTCATTTGGAAGCATACCCTCTCCAATTCAACAATTAATTCGCATAAACAAATCCATCTACCAATCTAATAAAAATTTATGAACCAAAAATTGAATATGACGTAATACCCCCCAGCGAAGGGATTGAAAACAAAAATAATCGATCAGAAACAAACGCTCGAGTTTGGATGAGATATGCAATTGAAAAGTTTTTGGGAAAACTCACCCCCGAGGGGACATGCACTTTGTTATAATCCAACTGAGAGCAAACTGAAGTCGTTAATAAAAATGAGACATGGGTATTGTCGTAAATGTGATTTGTCCAGTGCTCTCGTTTCCCGTTCTCTCCCCCCCCCCCCCCCCCC